TGACTATTATCTCTTCAAACACCTTTAAAAATTGGAATGGAATGTCTGACAAGGAATTCTCCATGTATCCATACTTCTGTATCAACATTTGACAGTTTATAGGATAAATTACTGTATTTACTCCAATACAAGACAGCATGGGGAAAAAAGCCTTATAAAAAAATGCAGCCCTGCCAGATGGTGGATATCTTATGCACAAGATATTTATCTTATATTCATGTACAAGGAAACCTCACTAAATAAATTGTCCTTCATTAAACTGCTGCCAAAATCAGCATGTGCCCAGTAATGGAAACCAACTATGGAGTTGATTAAATGCACCTAGCACTAAGCATGACTATAAAACCCACAGCCCATATTGGGCAAACATACTTTTTTTTTTGCAAAGTTTTCTGTATTCCAGGTCAAATTAGTCAAATCAGTTCCGAATCCTCTTGATTGAGCAACATTCAATCATTCAAATACCATTTGTAGTGCTATAATCAGCAAGTATCTTCCACCCAATATTTTTCAGCCTGGGGCTTCAGATACTCCCAAATCCATTGACGGGCATGGGCGTTTGTACATGACACATCATTTAATCCTTGTTAATTTACTGCAGCTTAAAAATGTTAACCCAGGTTATTTTGGTGTCGCGTTTGTGTTTGAGCAAGACACACTTTTGAGCGACTTAAGTCCCGTGTACAATTCCCTGTAAATTCCAGCAGGGGGAGCCAAATACCAACCTGGCTTGGATCGCGCTCCCCCTGCTCCCACCAAGCAGCGCCTGCATGACAGGACTACAGGTCCCAGCATCTCCTAGCTGTCTGGGCTTGGTACAGTTTCCATGGGGACCCCTGACCAACCCAGGGATCACTTCTGGGTGGGAGCGCGGGAGGGAAAAAAACCCTCAGCTTCTCCAGACACAGCTCGGCCTGGAAAGGTGCAACCTTTTAACAAAAAGGCAGGCAAGGTCCTTTAAGTAGATATATAAAATAAATATAAAATAAAGGATATTTTCTTTGCGATTTCCCAGTTGGTCTAATAAAAGGTATCATTTCAGAACCAAGACTTCTAGATTTTTTTTTTTAATAGATGTAATATCGTTTATTAGAAAAACTGAGTAGTTGGGAAAAAGCTGTTGGCAAACTTTTGGGCGCAGTCACCCTTCTTCAGGCATAGGGAGTCTGCTGTTCTGAGACTCCAAGGAGTGAAAGAAGCTAAAAGTGTGGCAGGATGTCAGTGAAAATGTAAATAGGTAGAATTAGAAAGACAGAAGTTGAAGCAGAGAGGTAAAAGCAGAGAGAGGAGGGGAAGAGAGCAGGAGAAAAGAAAAAAAAAGCTGAAAGGAGACATTACAGTGTTATAATACAAGGTAGAAAAGAGGCTATCTGTGAAAAAGAAAATTGTTGGAGATCAGGAAAACAGGATTGAGAGAAGTTTTCCCAGCATATTATTCCTTAGCTATTATTTCTTTTGAATTGTTTTGTTATGAGTGGGTGGGTGGATAATGTTAACCTAAAGCATACAGTTAAATGGAAATGATTAAAGGAGTTTTAAATATATAGGTGGGCAACTGAATAATGCTGTGTGTTAATAACCGAATAATGCTGTGTGTTCGGACTAGCAAATACCTGGCTTATGTCACAACCTGTTCATGATAAAAGGCTATAAGAAAACCCATACCAAACATGCTAACTGCGGGGAGTTCTCTCTGTTTATTTTAGTTTAGTTACATGCAGTGTTTGTGTGTGTGTGTGTGGGGGGGGGGGGGTTCAGTGTAAGAAGGAGTTATTTGTGAGTGAGATAAGGAGAACAAATATATTACATTAGTGTTTGGCACAAAAGCTATAATATGAGGTCTGCCCTATGTAATGTGCAGGATTCAGCCTGAATAACACTTTTTGGACACGGCTCCGGGAAAAGTTTCCAGGTAAAATTACTTTGACCCTAACACCCAATGATAGATAGATAGATAGATAGATAGAAAAGTCAAAGCTTTCCTACTGGGGCAAAAATCCCTTGTATTTCCCAATGGTTTAAAAATGCAAGGAACAGCTTCTTCCCCACGCTGACTGAATGGGTTAGTTTTGCTTTTAGTGAAAAGTTTTTAAATTTCAAAGAGGGCAATTAGTACCTGATAGCACCTCCTCAGGCCACTGAGCTGAGTCTCTGGAGAGGCTGATGGGTTTTCTCCCTCCTCCTCCCTCCCACCCAGAGACAAGCATTTCTGCTCCTTAGCAAAAAAAGGTTTTATTACACCTGAGTGACTGGTAAGAAGTGCACACACACACGTGTTAAGAAACTCTCCCCTTAGAAGAAACTCTGGCTTGATAGATAAAGGATGCTATGCACCTGGAATCCCCCAGACAAGACAGTGATCCCTGGGTCGGGCAAGGGTCCCCATGGAAACTGTACCAAGCCCAGACTGCTGGGAACTGCAGACCTGTTACGCAGTGGAGGGCAGTGACATGTCGGTGCCCTGCTT